ACAGGCACTTGGATTGTTTACAGGTACAGTATCTTGCCCACCAACTGATAGAAGTAAGACACACCCTGAGGTGTTCTTGATGTGTTTTATATCCGCTTTGCCAGCCGCCCCCCGACTGAAGTTGACTCTTACAGCTGCAGCCTAGAGGCCCAACATCTCAGCTGGCACCAGCCTTGGATTTGGCAGAAAAACATGCAAGCACACACCATTCTACAACTATTCTCAAACCATCCAGTCATGGAATACTTCCATAATCCTACTTATATAAGTTACTTAGGGTCATACCTTGAACAACTTATGAATACATAGATGGCCTTGGATCACACAGTTTAGCCATTCCCGTCCACCCACCCAGCTGATCCCCTCATTGACCACGATTTCCCTATCTGCCCTTTTCCCACATCTCCTTTTGCCATCACTCCCCCACGAAAAACACCAACCACACCTCCCCACCACACTTTTCGTCACCACACTCTCCATCGCCACGGTTGTTTCTTCCGCGGTCAAAAAACAGGATCCGGTCCGTGGCGATAAGGTCCATTCCACTCTCCCAGTTGGGTACCCCAGGTCGAGGTCAACCAGGTTCGAGGTCGACCAGGTCCGAGGTCGACAACCGGTCACTTAGTTACGGACCCTTTTGGGGTGAGAGGGTACCCATGGGTGACAAAGGACATCCAAAGGACCCAAACAAATTTGAAGTGAGTCACTGAAAACCTCTCTGCGGCTTCTCCAAGGCACGAGGGATTGGTGTAGATCGTCTCGATGCCTCCGATCATCTCCATCGCCTGGACGACGATGCTCGGACGACGGCGTCCGCGTCCCTTCCCAAACGGCGGAGCGGGAGCGGTCGAACCGGGGGGGACAGTGACCATGGTGTTTGGGACTGGTGACCTGGTGTGTTTTGATTGTATCTTGTTTTCTTCTCAGGGGAGTTTACTATATCGGTAGTTGGTCGCAACATGGTCCAAGTTGCAAGTTTTCTTACCTAGACGACCAGCTTGTCAATATGCGCTGCAATTGTCAGCTTGTTGATATGCACTGGGAGTCCAAAAGAAACCAACAGAATCTGTTTCATGGAATTTCATGGTGAGTATTGGTGGAACTTAGGCTACAGTACTTGGGTTGAGTTCGACAAACTATTGTGGAACCTGACGGCAACACTCAAGCGTTGCCTTAGGATCCGTCCCCAATTGCCAAGCCCAAAACCTCGAGTTTCGGCCAGTCCATGGCCATGTCCAAAGGAAGCAAGTCCAACCATTAGCCCGGTCGGGGACCGTCCTGGCCCAAGGGGGACCGTCCTGGCCCTTCGGGGATCCGACTCCGTCCCTCGGCCGAGAGCGGGCACCACGGGGTCGGAACGGAAGAGCGACAGATCCGTGTCCGCCTGGGGCGATGAAAAACGGTCCGGGTCGACCCGGTTGGAATGCTGAGGAGGTGGGTGGGTGAGAAGGGAGGACAATCCGATTCGAGCTGAGCTCTTTTAGTGTTACTGTAGTGCATAATACGTGCATGTGTTGATTTAAGTCTCCACAGGTGGATTTGATGTGGATGAAAAAGTTAATGTCTATATAATATATATATATATATAAACTGAGAGCATTTTTACGACACCTCTCTTTGGATCAACCTGGTGATCACCACCCACTCCCTGGCTTTCTTTGGTTCATCTTAGGTTTGTGACTGGATCCTCCGTTGACAGGCGTTGAACATCGTTGACGTCGCGCTGCGCGGTACGTTCTCTGCGGGTCATCGTGGGAGATTCTTCTGCCGGCTTCAGGCTTCGAACGCTCACGTTCCAGCACTTAGGTTTGGTTTAGGAGTCTAAAGGGTCTAAGAGTCGACCGGTTTGCTGTATAAACGACGGGTAGTCAAACAAATCACTCTCGATGATCATGGATCATGCATGGCATGGCGCCATGCGACTCTATGCCGCCCCCGAAGACGAGCATACGAAGACAGACCGACAGGTGGTTTTCACTCCACTTCCGCCACTTCCATGATTAATGTCAGAGGAGTGGACATCCAAATTCCATCCCAAGCTTGGAAACGCGGCTTTCCTTCTCAAAAAGGACCAACAGTTACAAAATGGGATCAAATGGGTGTCACGCGTCATCATGCCCTCCCAAGCTTTTCTCCAGAATATTGAGTTCCCTCCATGTCTAGCGCCAATCAACCCTGTACTGTACGACCGGGAGAAAATTCAGGACGACACCCACTACCGCACCCTTCGGTGTGGCTGTGGTGCCGTGTGCGAAGCTGAGCTCTGCACTTGACCGGAAAGAGATAACTACTATATATATGACACGCTTGCGCAACATTCAGTGAAACTCCCTTGGCTCAACTCTACCAGACTCTTCCCAGTACTCTTCCCATGCAATCCTAACTTGAGGTGTTTTTGCTAAGCAAACAACAACATGTTGAAACATGTTAACACCATGTTGATTCAAATGTGCATGGTGCAGGTGAGAACGAGCAAAATCACCGTCCTGATGCATCTTGATCCATTATAGCGAAGCCGAAGCCGACGATCGGCTCATGTGCCTCCCTCCGCGCTCAAGTTCTCCGGAAGTTGGGGGTCCCGGCCAGAAAGTTCAAGTAGTAATAGCCCACGGTCCTTCCAATCCATGTCGGTCCCGTGCCATGCTGTGCCGAACACACATGTTTATTGTTGTAAAGAGCGGGAAAGGAAGGATCGATGGTCGGAAGTGGAATGCGACTCCATCGGAACACCAACGCTTCCCCTGTTTTTCAAATTGAAGCGCAGTCTTTTCTGAAAGTGGAGGTGAGGTCTTGCCCTGGCATGGCACTTCACCCTGGCTGGTTGGGTGAAGGCGGGTGCATCTGCTTGTCTCAATTCGTTGGACGTGGCTGCATTCCCCATGCATGTCTGGGGGCAGCCGCACATGGGGCCGCCTCTTCGACCGTTAGTATTCTTACAACGACTGGCATCAACGACTCCTCAAACGATACCCAGTCGTGAAATCCGTGATTACTAATTTCATGGTTTTGACTCGGCCGACCGGAGAGGTCCTGCTTCTGTTTCATGTAGTCAGCGTTTGTATCGGTGTGTATCGGTCTGTGAAGTGGTAGTCACTGCATTTGCACCATTGCAAAGCTTCATTTATCTTTGCCAGGCCAGCCATGTTGGACAGGATGCATGTTGGTATATCGCAAGGTGGCTGACTTTGCCAAAGGTCAATGTCTCAAGGTCAGCCTTAAACTTCAGCATACTCATGCATAATCAACATGGTTTTCGGAACGATGGGAGAGGTGTTATATACATGTCAATACATGTCATGTGTACATTGTGAATCTGGTCATAAAAGTCGCCGTATGAATCTCCGCATGGTCTGACGTCAGGACCGCTGCATTGAATGTCAAGTGCAAGCGTTTCACGCCAACCTCCTGCCCAAGGCCCCTCCCCGGTGAAGGTACTGCTTCTGCGCTCAAGTCTATATAGGTGAACAAGATGATGCTCGGCCAAGGTACTGCTCATCGATGTTGCATCGATGTGCGAAACTGGCTTCTGCTGTTTCGGTCCCGTCGAGCATTCCTCGTGGATGCGAAGGAGATGCCTCTGTCACTGAGTTCCTGAACCAGCTGGCGCTTGCCGAAGGCACACGACCATCACATTGCGGCCACACGACGACCATCGATGAACCGATCGCACCCGCCCATTGCGGACCAGGTGGTGTGGCGAAGCCAATTCCCAAGTGGTGTGGCTGCGAATTGCAAAGCCCACACAAGCCCTATGGATCCACATACCTTCTCAGGTTCGGTATGTGGGCTCTCCAAGCCTACATAGATAGTCTCCAATCACCTTCTCAGAAGGTATGTGGATCCATAGGGAAGTGGTGTGCTGGGAATCTGATCCGAGCTGTGTAACGAATCAATTGTCCTTCCTGTGCTGAAATCAATCGATCGGTTCATTTGCACTACGTCAGGGGCATAAGCGAGTGCAGGTTCAGAATGTTCAATGAAATGGCTGTGGACATTGCCTGGTGCTGGTACTTCATGCCTTGTACAATTCGCAGGAGGTTGTCACGAGGTTGTCTCACATACCTTCTCAAGGAGCATGTCCGTTCGCGAAGCACGAGATGGCGGGGCATGCTTTGTTTCCAAATATGATGAATTCATATCAACGGAGAAACCGTGTGGATCCGTGTGGCAACTCATCTTGACCGAGGTCTATTGAGAAACCATTCTTCAAACCATCTATAGCAGCAGGAGTTCCGTGGGTGTAGCTGCTTTGAGACCCATGTCGGTGTGGGTGGATGTTCTGGACACCCCTACACACTGCGTGGATCGGTGTCTTCCAGGCACCTCGTTTTGAATTGGAGCTCTTGGCATCGCCTCACCTCGTCTTTCCACCAGGTCGGTCCCGGTCCCACCCGTCGACCGCACCGACCGCGGACCGGTCCATCGGGTGATGGAGAGAACGTCGACGACCTGAGAGGACGGCGTGGCCCCGCGCGTCGAAGGACGGTCGAACGACGAGCGGAACCGGTGGACGTCCAAAGGTCGAATTCGCGAGGTTGTGACGTGCAGAAGCTCAAGGTCTAACTGAGAAGGTGCCTTTGGTTCATGTGTGTTTGGTCATTGGCGATGGTTTTTACCATTGTGAGGTGTTAACAGTCAAACACTACTGGTAGAGAGTGTCTTGGAGGAGCGACTAGGCGACTTCGGGCGTCCACATTCTCAGAAACATGTTCCGTCAGGTTTCCAATCAAGCGGACCACGTCCAAATCTTTGACTTATCAAGAGAGACCAATCCAGAGGATCTTGACCAATCCAAGAGCAACTCGATTCAGGGAGGTGACGTCTTTTGTTTGCCTCTTCGAGACACATCCTCCATTTTCTGTTAGGGCCCATGAACACACTCAAATGAATACTCAACAGGCCATCGTCAATCCTGATCATTCCTTTATTACTGGTCAGACTTGCCAAGAAATGCCAAGAAACTTACTATTGCATGGCCTGAAGCACGTCTTCTTCACTCTTCAGTGGGATCCTAGGATCCAATAGCCCATTCGAGGTTGGATTCCATGACCAACACTCCGGGCACCCGCCGGACCTAGCGCCACCCCAGCGCGCAAGGACGCCGCGCTCCACACGAGCTGGGCTTCCCAGACGAGCTCCAGGGCGCCGCCATCCGCCATCGTCTCCACACGCAAGGGATGACCCAGCAAGCCACAACTCACGAAGATCACAATGGCCTGGCCCAACGCACGAGCTGGTGCGTGCAACGCCCGAAGTGGGTGGGTGGTCCAAGGTTGTTGCGTGCAAATCGCCAGCAGCTTTTGGGCGAGGGCAGATTGAACAAAGGTACTGCGCAATGTGTATAGAACCTGTATATAGAATCTGAGTGATGTCTGTGTTGGAGCCCAAACATGGTCTTTTCCAAGCAAAGGTCAAATGGATTCTATAGAATGTTCTATACTGTTCTCTATACTGTATATAGGTATGGACATGTGACTGCAACCCAGGCTTAAAACCCAAAAGGTCTAGAAAACCGGAATCCACCAGAGCGTTGAAGGAAGAATTTGACATCTGCACCATTATCCAGCAAAAAGACATTGACATTATCCATCTGCTGCAATGTAGGATTCTGCCCATCTTGATCTGCATTAATTTGAGAATATGGTCTCAAGGCAAATGAAAGCCTTTGTGGCCCTTGAGCTGTGAAGAGTGATGTGTGAATTTGCGAGGTCAACATAATTCCACAAATAGGTGGCTGTACCGCCCGCTTCTGCGTTCCATCCGACACAACAACACCTCCGAACCGTCAACAGGCGATGGCGCATGGTGTTTTGGTCGATGCTGGTTGAGCGGACAGTGACGGGTCCAACCCACACCGGACGTGGAACAAAACAAACGCTTCATAGGACAGGTAAGAAACACATGCAAATACATTGCCATATGTGGTATTCAATTCTTTAGAAATCTTTATAAAGTCACGTTTCTCTTTTTTGGTGGCCGTAGATGGCCCTAGTGTTCAAGGATGTTGCTCACCCTCTCCTGTGCCTCCGCCTCCCCACATCCCTCCCTCTCCCACCGTGATGAAGGGCCCATGCTTGGGTGGGAAGGTCGTGGAGATCATGTAGCCCAGACCACTGGCGGCGGCCGTCACCTCAGCATCCAAGCATGTCCAAGCTCCCAGGCCGAAACGCGTCCCCGAGAGCCATGCGCACGCACATGCCCACCTTCTCCAAAAGACCCTCCCAGCCAAAAAAGGTCGGTGAGTGGGGTCGTCTTCCTTCTTGTTTCGGTCCCTTCGTCCCGGCCACCTTGCCGGGAAAAGGTTCCCAGCCTAGGTAGGGGCGCTCAAGCGAGTGTCCCAGCCCTTCCTCTGAATCTCGGTCTCGGTCTTTGGAACTTCCAAGGCCCAAGACCCACCTTTCTCTCTATCGACCCCCCGCCCCTCCAACACTGCCATCGGCGGTCCGTCATCGTCCGTCTGACCGAGGTGCCAATAAGAAGGGCGGGAAGAAGACCAGAAAGCTGACCACGGGCTGCCGAATGAGGAAATACACCTCATGGATGTGGGTTGCTGAAGATAAGGCGTGAAGAAGACAACACCAAAAGAACACATGCTGAAGATCTCTGAAGATGCTACAGTGTGGCTGAGCCATGCCTTTCAGAGCTGGTCCTTGGAATGTCTTCCTCCGTGGCTGAGCTCGTTTCAGCAGTGGTCGTTCCGCCGCTCCTTTCGCGGTGCTCGTTTTCGAACGTCCGGGAGCCCGAGCAGAGGTCAGCAGGAAGCACTGCAACACGAGGTCGATCGAGTTCACAAACTCAGGCAGCGAAGCGATGGTCAAACATGTGCACTTCGAGGCGACTGGTCAACTGGACCACCCACGGGGAAGGACCAACCAACCAGTTTCCTGAGTCCTGCGGAAGCAACCATATCCTCAGAGCATGGTTAGACCCTCCAAATACACCCCAACCATGTTCTCAGGAGGTAGTTGGATCCTTAGGGACAGCACCCAACAAACGCGGAAAACAAACTCACTCCCCAGGAGCACTCCTTTACAGAGACTGCGTCAGGCATCGATCACTATAGGTCCTCTAATTGCTTCGAGCCCTCCAAAACTGCACCACCTCAAACACTCTGTGACACTCCAAGGAAAAACAAACTAACAATATCACTAGGACCACCATCTGCCAAGACCCACTTAAGGGGTTACTACTAGACACCCCTTAGGGCCTTAGGGGGCCCTGGTATAGTGTCAATGGACGTGGGGGCTCGCTCGGGGTTGAACGTGTTTGATGCCCAAATCGTGACCGACCGTGCCAATTGAAATCATCATGGGCCAACGTGGATGGTATGGCTCCGAGTTCGGATGACCATCTTTCCGAAGTACCAAACAGCTGCTTTTCCATGTGTAGCCATGATTCTCTCAAAGAGTCTATGACGAACCTCACCGAACCTCGCCCAACCCCTCGTCTCTTTGTAGCTACACCAACAGCCCGCCGCCGACCGAATCGCTCGACCGTGGCTCCGTTTGGCTCCGTTTGGCTCCGCTCTGGGCGCTCCGCGCCACCTTGGCCACGAAGAAGGCAGCCACGCTCAAGCCACTCTCCCGCTCGCGCCAGAAGACGGGGCGATCCGTGCCTGTTTCAGGGTGGAGTTTGTTGGAGTCCAAGTTGGAGCGCTGGTGTTCGGATTTTTTGGGAGGTGAGTGCTTGGAGTGGCTGGAGTGGTGCATGGCGGTGCGAGAAGGTGAGCTTGGGCGGAGGATGGCCATATACCCAAAAGCAGTTGGAGATGGCCATAGGTGGCTAAAAAAGGACCCAGAGCTCTTGGATCCCTTCTTTGGAAGGCTGGATTACCTGTGGACTCCAAGCAAATTCACCTAGAACGCCGATAATGTGAGGAGAGAGTTCTTTCAGGAGCCGCCCATCTCACACGGATGCCAAGGTCAACAACAGAGCCTCTCCCTCTCTGATATGTAATATAGGCCCAGGCCTAAATAAGAGACATTATGATCTGCTCCTTAAACACAAATTACATAAATCTGAATCTTTTTGAACCACTCCAGATTCCTGATGCTCCAGAACCCTGCATCTCATGAAGAAAACCAAGTAATCTAATCTCTACAAAGAGTCCCTTTCTCTCAACCGAAGACTATCGTTCGGGCGACTGAAGAGATTCAGGGCAAAGACCGCGATCAGCAAGGCCAGGGTCGTATGCAGGTTGAGGATGGGCAGCGCCTGGGCTTCGATCGATCCATGAGGCTCAGATGCATCGAAGGGTGGTTGGCTGAAACCACAAACAGCTGACGGCTACTGCTAAGGCTTTTGACGGCAAGGTTGGTTGGCTGAAAGCAAAGAAACAATTGGGATCTTCCTGCTATGTCATGGTTCTTCCTGCTAGGGTTGAAGGCTCGGGAAAAAGACTTGTGCAAACGCAGACTTGCCTTTCTGTGAAAAATACGTGCAGCACGTGCACCAGGTGCTTCAGCTGCTTCACAGCTGGAAAGGATAGCCACACATCTAGTCAGTCAATGTCAGTCAATTCTACAAGCAAGAGTGAAGTCCTACCATCGCTTCCTGAAACATCTTTAAAAAGGAAGGCTCCACTAAGTGGAGCAAAACCGCCTTCAGACTCTGTTCAGACTCCTTGAAGGCGCCCCATAAGGCGCCGGTCACGTCCCCGCCTGCCATTCTGCCTCCTTGACCACAAAGGTGTCCATCAAGGCCATAATGGTGGAGGAGCCGGTGATCACACCCAAAAAGATGGCCTCAGAATAACACAGAGCACGGCACAGCCGCACAGCCCGATCGAAAGGAGAAAGAAGAACACAGAACATTGCACAATGCATTTGATGAAGATGGTTTATAATGATGGTTCATGGATGTGTTGGATTTCTGCAAAAACATGTCTTGCCCATTTTAAACACTGACAAAGATCAAAACCTATCTTTGCATAAGTCATAAACCATCTCATGGAATCCTCTTCTCTATAGCTTCCAGTGAATTCCCGACTGCTAAAGTGCCATTGGCTGAGTCAACCTTGGCAATCCTTCCCTGAGACATCCCCTGCATCTAAGAAGCTCGTTGCCAGCTACCACGCCACCATTGGATGAAGCTCCGCTTCGTGAGGATTTGCAGCTGCCTCGCCCAAACTGAGGGTCGTGAAGAATGCCAGCAAGCCATTGCGTGAGGGTCAATAAACTTTGCAGCAAAAACAAAGCGTTTCCAAACGTGATACGACATCAACACTGAGAAAATCAAGTCAAAAATCGGAGTGACAACAACACAAGGGCGATCTATGTATGCTTAGAGCAAGATTCTTAAGAATTCCAACCAGTGCATCATTCTGTCACTCTGTCCCAACAATTGGATTTAATTCATTCATTCAAAATGATCGAGGGGGTCTCCTTGCTTTAAAATATATCTACACGGGTTTGGCCTCGTCCAATGTCAGTGGCCCCCAATGTCCACTGAGGGTCCAAAGCTAGTTCCTTTCGTTTTAAACCCAAAAACACCACCACGGGGGACACCTCAGCGACGATCCCTTTTGGATGTTTTATGTGTTTGGAATTCTATAGTCCTTCCATTCAGCAGTATTAAACACGACTGACACCCGACGTGCTGGATAGGTCATCCTCATGCGGGAGGGAGTCGGCCCAGCCGCGAGCCGGCGTCAAACCCATCAGCTACCTTGTCAGCCCACTAGCAATCAAATGTCGATTATGGTTCTTCCGCGTGACTGTCATGATCCGTTGGAACCATCTGGCCTTCGTCTATCGAACCATACGCCGATCTCGCAGGTGGATCTGGATGTTCCAGGATTCTACACTCCGACAAACACATCACCTGGAACTGGAACACCAGTATGGTTTGTCAATGAAACATCGCCTTCCAAGGTAATGTCTTCGTCCGAGGGGCACGTATGGGGGAACTAGAGTGTGTTCCTGCAGTTGCTGAAGATTGGTTCCCTTTAGCGCGCCGCGCGCCTTGCGCGGAACAATTCCCAGTCCATGTCGGTTAAGTCCGTTAAGCAAATGACATGCAAATGACACAGTAAGCCTCCCAAAGCCGGACCTCGCTCGACGAGAACACGGACGCGCCGTTTTCGTCGCAAAATACTCTGCGGGAGGGACAAACGCCACGTGGTTACGACGGGGCGCCTGCAGAAACCCGGCGGTTGTTGCTCGAAAGCCACTCGCTGCAAGTTCCCATAGACCGAGGCGAAAGATCGATTCCTGCGAGAGAGGACGACAGGGTCAGACATGGTGATTCCGATCACCACATACCGCCACATACCCAAAATCTTGGAAACTCCACTGGTTTGGTTTCAATGATCTTCAATTGATGAAACCTGTCGTTTTGGCCAAGGGGTGATCAAAAATTCAGAGGTTTGAAATCACCAACCACCACTGATGGGTGTACTTTGAAAGAACTTCCATTCAACAAGTGCAGTTTCTCTTGTAAATAACCCCCAACAAAAAACAAACACATATATCATGGCTCCTAGTTATTCAAACCTGTTGATTCCTTTGATCAAGCCCGATTGATTCTTTGCAGCACCCAAATAACAATATGATAGCATTTCTAGTTGTGCTGGCGGTGGGTGGCCATTGAACTTAAAGAGTTCCCCATAGATGTCTATCTCTTTGGGGACCCCTGTCTCTTACGCATGCGGCCTTAATGCACGCGGCTGCTTGGTCTCGTGCGTGTGGCCTGAGCACGTCGCCCGCGCGGTTGGGCATCCGCGTGAAGGTGTGGAAACAAGATGGGATACATGTGAACAGTGGTCCTGCCTCGGAGGACTCCAAGTGACCTACTTTGTTATATTATATAAATGCCTTTATAATCCCCCATGAAAATCACATGGAGGGGTCAGTCCTGGTCATTCTTTAGTGATTTCCTGAGGGATGATGAATGTCAGTTCCCTAGGAACTGAGGAACGCAGCCTCATGAAGCAGTGTTTGGCATAATCTAGTGAAATCACTAGAAAATGACCTGAAATTCCAAACACATCCTTGGACCTGTGTTTGGCGCGCCTTCTGTTTGGACCTGCGTCTGCCAGTTTCGAGCGGATGCTCTGGTGTCTGGACATGCGTTTGTCATTTTTGAGCGGATCTGCTTTGATCCTGATTTCTCCTAGGTCCTACATCATCTACGTGTTGTGAGGACCTCCAAAAGCAAATAACAAAGCGTACGAAAGGTAGGTTGATTGAACAACAGCTGCAAAACTCCGTGATCTGCATAGTTAATCAAGATTCCGAAACATTCTGAAATTACATTCTCATATCTTAAACAAAACAATAAGTTAGAAAAGTTTAAAACATTTCTAGTGGGTGAACATTCTTGAGGAATCTCAAACATTCCTTGAAAATAGCCCAAACCCTTTTTAGAAATTGAGAAACACGACTCACATGCCTACGTATCCTCATTTTCTAATGGGTGAACAGCTACGTCAACCAGTACTTAGTTTGGACCTTTAACCCAAGTCAAGGCTCACCTCACGTTAGCCTCTATAGTGGTTCATGGGCCAAAACTTATACAGTATATTACCCTCCATCCAACAAACATGAAAGTGAAACATGGCCCTTGGAAGACTGAATTCCTCTATGAACAGGCTCTATGCCACTTCCATGATTGTTTCAGGGAGGGTAATATATCCAACGATCTCCCACCCAACATAGTACAAAGGTTGCATTAGCTTTAAACATGACAGAACCTATCACCTATACACCCATAAGTCTACTTTTTGGCAAACCTCCACGGGTCAACTTGGGCTGTCCAACGACGAAGGGTGGGATGAACTGGACATCATAGTCACCAGGCAGCGGCAACAACTGACTAAACCATTTCTGGATAGACTTTGACTCAAAGTCTCCCAACAAGTCATTGAACATGAATCATTGAATTCAACAAACTCCGCATGACAAATCCCGCCACCGGCTCACCCCAAGCTGGTGTCCTCCTCTCCCGAAAACCACTTCCGACCACCCACCCGATCCTTTCGGTGCGTTGTTGCGCCGTGAAAACCACCTTGTTAACTCCCTTCGTCCTTCTTTCCTACGTTCAACGGCGTGTGGCGTGAGAGAGGTTGAAGCCGAGCAGCCGCTCTCCAAGTGTTGCACCTCCACCACCACTTCCAGTTTTTCACCTGTCACTGCTGTCCCACCGTCGTGACATGAACTTCTGAGGACTTTGGAGCCGCGAACGTCTTGGAAGGTATTATAACACTCCTGTCCCGGCAAGAGCCCCCAAACAGTGTCTTCAAAGGGCTAAGGTCTAGAGGCGTAGAGATCTAGACGCGTTGGGTTCCAAAGAAATGATCGTGGTGGTGATGGAGGTGGTGATCGTGGTGCAGGATTTGAATTGAAGGTCCAGGTCCACAGTTCTAAAGGCCTAGAAGTGGAGAGAGATGTTTGAGCACACATATGAGGGCACATGTGCTGCGCATCCCACGAATCTGCACTTCAAGGTCCGCAAAGCGCAGTGCCACGAAATCTGCACCCGAAGGTCTTCAAAGTGCTGTGCCTGACACGAAATCTGCACCTAAGGTCTACAAAGCGCTGCAGCTGCAAATCCATTTTCGCAAAGTGCTGCACCTGCCGTGAAATCTGCATGCCAAGATTCACCTTGCAGAGCCTTGCCAAGGCGAATCACAGCAACAGCCCTTCCAAAAACAACATCGAGATGCCAAGACGCAGCTTTCGTAAAGTCAACATTCAATGCACTTGCCGCAAAATCAGAGCACCAAAATACTACGCCTGCCACGAAATCTGTAAACCGCTCGGATCTCCTGCGCCTGTCACGAAAAGTCGACTTCGGACCACCAAAACACCCGAAAATGCGCACAGCACTACAACGAGAGCGGTCCCGAAGAGCACCTGCTCGCGACCACCAGATTCTACGAGCCTGCGCAGTGGAAATGCACTTCGAAGATCTTGAGGTGAATGAATGTACTGTAAATAGCAGCGACTTAGCCGCCGGCGGATGTGAGCACCTCAATCAAACACCCGTCCTTAACAGCTACCGAAAGAACCCCATAGTGTTACCACACGGTTTGGGAAAAAAACAAAACGTGTTGTTTTTGGAAATTACTAACGCCACGGCCTTGTCCCCACATCATGAGGTGAAAATGATGACTCTCATTGCCCAGTGTAGTATATAGACGATGGTAGTTCTCTGCGCTTGGGGTCTGCACCAGTCTCTGTTTGTTTCCTACAGTGAGAACTGAACGACACAAGGAATACTCTTCCTTGGGTACGGTATGTCGCATAGCCAGTAACAGTGGATGATGATGGTTAGTAGATGCCTCTCTCTAAAGTAGTGATAATTGTTTACCGACTGTTACAGGTAGTGAGACAAACCACAACTATTCTTTTAGTGTTTCTATGCTTGTGGCCTAGCAAGCTGCTTCTACTTCCATGACTCGAGGATGGAACCTTTTTCAAAGCCCACACAAAGCTCCACAAGCCGCCAATGGTTTCATAAATATTCCCTGCCCAAACACTCCATCTATGGCATATTTTCAGATCAGTTGGGGGCGTATGTATTGAGGGATCAATGTAGGTATATATATATATATAATACATATATATGTATATTCCAGTCCCATGGAGTGTCTGGGAAAGATTATCTGCAGCTTCTGGGTTTAGTTTGGCTCCTTGCCAACTTCAACCCCGCACCTGGTGAGCCCTGGCCGGGCCAGCAGAAAACACATGTTGATGGGGTTTTCGGAAAAGATCGCTTTGACAGTACTTAGATGGTACTTAGCACTGGTCGCAGCTGGTGCCTACGATGTCTCCACCGCTGCGCTACGTGGACTGTCCACGCCTGAAGCTGTCTCCTGCATGTTGGGCTCACAGGAAGGGGCCTCACCAGTCCGCCAAACGTCGTCAAACAGCTGGTGAAATCCCATTGTTTCTTTTGTTGCTCCGAGGTCTGCTTGTTGGTTGTTGACTTTGTTGCTTGCTTTTCTTTTGGCACTTTCATGTTGCACGCTTGCATGCTTGCGTCCGCTTACTTGCTGGGTCTGTCAATTGGCTGGTTTTCGCTTCTTGATTGGCCTAAAACATGAGGATAACAGTGCGTCTTTCGAAACCTTTCTGAACCTGACCAGATAACATTGTTCTTAGATGCTCTATAGATCTTCTTAGTCCATGGCAAAAAGAACACCTCTCACGGACAACTGCTAGTCAATGCCATCAGAACACCCTCTCATCAGGCCGTCCAGCGAAATTATTGGAATGCTGCTTTCATCACAATAGCTTTTGCTATGTCTTGTCACCTACATCCATGCAACCTACCAAGGCCCTAACTCAGGCCGTATGCCCCATGCGGCCGTACATCCCCATACCCATCGCGCGCTCACCGGTCACCGGTCAGCCCTCGCGGGTGGCACGCCTTCCCCACACGGCCCAGGAGCGCCACCGGGGACGCTTCGTTGAGACTTTGGGGCGTGGTGCCTGAGGCCTGGCGGAGAGCTCGGGGAAGGGCTGCTTGCAGCCGGACAGGCAGTCAAACACGAAAGGAACTTTTGGCAAGCAGTCGATGTGCAACATGGATGAAGATGGCCTTTTCTGCAAAAAGCATGGAAATCCATTAAAATGGATTGGAAGCCTCTACACAGGAGGGAAGTGAACTCTGAGAAAATGGGCAGTTGGAGGTACGCCTCAAAGACGGTCTGGTGCAAAAGCAGCGTCAGGCTGAACGCATTCTGCTTGGGAAACACCACGAAAGCGAACACGGAATGCACAAAAACACATAAAGACAAAGCATCATTTGGGAATTTGAACAAATATGAACATATCACTTTTCAGGGGGACAGTCTGCCGACCCGAACCACATCAGCTACTGGTGTTGTGGATGAACATTGTAGCTTCTTTCGATACCACCAGTAAAACGTTTGCAAAGGGGACATGTGGTCATTGATGTGGTTGATCTACATAAATTGGTTCCAACATGTCCCAAACACTCCATATATGGCATATACAAAAATTCCCACACTGGGATGGTTTCGGTTTCAGGGGTCAATGTATGTACATGTGCCATACATGGAGCTTTTGTATGTTACAAGGACCTTTTGATCAACTGCCAGATCTTGGCCACTGTTCTTTTCACGCTGCAGGTTAACCAACACATGGACAACCGACGGTGAGTTCCACCCCACCCGTTACGCTCGCGCCGTAAGAACGGCCGCGGAAGTATTCCGCGGCCGCGAAAGCGGCACCTTCGAGCTGGGGCGCTTATGCTCACGGCTCCGTATGGTCA